TTAAAGATGATTATCAATGGTGCTTCATGTGAGACAAGCAGAAAGGTCTTATCCAAGCATTCAATGATGTGTTTCCAAATGCAGAACATCGGTTTTGTATTAGACATATGCAAGGTAACATGAGGAGAGCTGGTTTTATTGGACAGTCATTCAAATTAGCTGTGTGGAGGGCAGGAAAGGCCACAACTGTGAATGAGTTTGTAAGGAGGATGTCTGAGGTAAGACAACTAGAAGAGAAGACATATGATTGGCTTAAAGACAAGCCTCCTGCCCAATGGAGTAGATCTCATTTCAGTACATTGGCTAAGTCAGACATCTTGTTAAATAATCTTTGTGAGACCTTTAATGGGAACATTTTGGAGGCTAGACATGAGCCTATTCTAATTATGCTGGAAATGATTCAGTTGTATTTGATGGAAAAAATGCAAAAGGCCAGAGAGAGAGCTACCAAAAATTGGAGAAAAAGTGTCATTTGCCCTAGGATTAATAAGATTGTGCAACAAAACCTGCAGAACATTCCTGATTGTATCCCTATAAAAGCAAGTGAATTTAACTATCAGATAAGCTCCAGCAATGGTTCCCAATTTTCTGTTGACCTATCCAATAAGACATGTGGTTGTAGGAAGTGGGATCTCACTGGAATTCCTTGTGTTCATGCTTTATCTGCCATTAAATGTGGGGGGTTTGAAGTAAATGACTTTGTTGACAGATGTTACTATCTGGATACTTACAAAGTTGTATATGCAACCATCTTGATGCCAATGAATGGCAGAGACCAATGGCCTATGTCCAATTTTATACCTGCCAAACCCCCCAATTTTGGGAGAGGGACAGGTAGACCCACCACAGCTAGAAGGCTAGAACCTGATGAGGTTATGCCAAAAAAAAAAAAAAAAAGAAGAGAATAGAAGATAGAAATGTATTAATCTCCACAAGATTCAAAGGCAAAAGAATTTGATCACTTGTGGTAACTACAGTTCAAAGGGTCATAACAAAAAACATTGCAAAAGCACATCTGAATTTGCAAGTCAGGTCACTCAAGAAGATACTCTCCCTCTCACTCCACAGGTGATATTGCAAAATGATATTTTCCTTTTTTATGTTTATTTTTACATATAATGATGGTTATTATTTTTCTTTATCATAATTATATATGTTCATGAGAATACAACAAGTGAATTTGCTAGTCAAGTCACTCAAGAAGAAGCTATTCTCCCTCCAACTCCACAGGTGATAATAATACTGATAATGTTATTTCCTTTGTTTCATTATATGTACTTACTTACTTGCAATGTTTAGGTTCTTAAGACCTCAATCCCCAATCCTAAGTAGCCATCAAATCCAAATCAAAATATTGTTATCCAGGTGATAATTGTTAATAAAGTTATTGACATTTTTCATCATTAATGTTTGATATAATAGAATATATATATATATATATATATATATATATATATGGTACATTAATATGTTTTGATTGCTTTTCAGGATGGTGCATTGAATGATGTTACATTGGAGCAACCTCCAACCATGTGGGACCAACTTCAGTCCCAACAGAACAATGAGCCTGGAGGATCTTCAACATATAACATGAAGCCCCAGAAATATGTCTCATTTTCAGACTTGAATGCATGTCTTGCTAAACAGGGTACAAAAATGGTATAGGGAAAGGGCAAAAGAAGAAAGAAGAATTGATGTAGTTGCCTATTTTGGATGAAGACACATTAATTATTGTTTTGGTTATGTTATGGGTTGATGTTCTTCAGATTGGTTTTTGTGAAACTGGGATTTGCTTATGTTTGGGTTGATGTTCTTCAGATTTTTTTTTTTTTTTTTTTTTGAAACTGGGATTTGCTTATGTTTGGGATCTTAAACACTCAACTTTTTTGTGTTATAATTATGGCAATGGGTTTTATGATTCAACATATGTTAGTTTTATGGTTATTGATGTGGTTTGATGGTTTGATGGTTATAGCTAGCTTTGACTATGGTATGATGGTTGAATATGCTTATACTTGTAGCTGTTGTATGATGTTTATGGCCTTTGGTGTGATTGTTTTATGCTATACTGGTTTTATCTTTGGTGTTGTATGATGTTTGGTAGGAAATCAATATAATCAATAACATTATAAGCTATAAACATCACTGATCATATGTTAGCTTTTCTTTAGTTGGAAACAAAGTCACTGATGGATAGAAATCCAATAAAAACTGATCCTCAAGATGATACTCAATGTGGCAGATTCATTCATCAAGAATAGATCCTTAGAAAAATCAAGTACTTAACAGATCCTTACACAAAAGTACTTAAAATAGCTAGGTAAATTGAAATTGCTTCATCAAGTACTTGCTTACACAAATCAAATCCAACACATTCTAACAAAATACAAGACCAAGAAACAACAAGGTGCCTGACTCATTAGATAAATCCTAAACACTTGATCAAAATAATTAAGCACCATGAAATCAATAAGTACATCTTCAATTTGGGCCTCTGATTCTCCAAAATTTCAACTTGCTTCATCAGTGTCTCCTTCTCTTCACGAAGCTTCCGAATCACATATAGACTACGTCGAGGAATTGGGGGATCTTCCCAAGCAAAAAAATTGCAGCCTCCAATCTGAATTAGGGCAACAATAATGTTTTAGAAAAATGAAAGAAGGAGAAAATACATGGCAGAACAGAGCTTAAGAGAAAAGCGTACCTCCCAATCTTCACACCCGTTGAATTGCCTACCCGGGTTGGCTTAAGTCCACGAGGTCCACAGCTTCGCTTTCTTCCCACAGTTACAAAACGGAGAGACCTTGGGGCTACTGACCGACGAGGACATGGTGAATTTGGGATTTTTCTTAGGCCTTGGAGAATGGATCGAGCTATGGATGAAATTGGGATTTTCTTAGGGTTTGAGAAATGAAAAT